CTCATTATCATCTCACCGATCAGTGGAAACAATTTGTCAATATTTATTTCTGAGCATCTTGAAAAACGCCATGAAGCGCCCATTAATTCCCTCAGTTGTATTGCTTTGACCAGTAGGGTCCTTGTTGTCAGTTTGCCTGTCGGGAAGGAGATATATGTACGAAACGGAATGGGGGGAGACTTGCACCAGAGAACAAACGATCCAGATGTGGTAAACAGCATCAGTGTACATTTCGTGCCTGTTGTCTTGTTTACAAAAAAGAAATCAGCTTGACTGACCCCAGAATGTTGTAGCAGGCACTATGGAGGAAATTAAAACAAATCCCCCAGTTGAAATTAGCTTTATTCTATCCCGTTGTTGACAGCGTGTTATTCACAAGAAACACAGAATTGTTGCAACAACGGAAAATGCACAGGCACTCAGCAAAGCAGAAGCAACGGTGCAGATTTGGTGACTGCCTACCTAAGTATCCAACTATCTTCAGGTATTTTATTCCCAGAGATTTCCAATACTTGCAGTATCTTTAATGAGTTTGCATTTTACACTGCAAATTTAACCTTGGTGTGAACGGTCTCGTTTACTCCTGTCGTGTCCCCGTTTGTCCAGGTACACCTGACATAGAATGCATTTTGTAAATGTCTCTATTGCAAGCGCACGGAGTGCAACATAATATATGGGGATAAGTTGAATTTTCTTGCAACTATTGTCATGTTCAAATGGAAATATTTTGCTTTTTTTTAGAAATGCTATGAATAAAGCATATTTTGGAGTGAATGAGAGTGTCACTCACTGAAGAAAGATTTACTCCGGCCCTTGGTCAGGTGGGACTTTCAGACAATAACCACTTGTCTGTAATACTTTGAAAGGTTACGGGAAGCCTTGCATAATGGCAGAAAGAAATAAAACGACTTGTGGGAGGATTGCGGTAAGCGCCTTGCTAAAAAGAGGGGCCTTGTAACAGTTGTTGCACGTAAGAGCGTTTAAAGAGGAAATTAGAGAAAGCAGGACCCAGGCAACCAAGCTTTGAATTGACGCTATAAAACCTTCGGTGAGACTAATACTATTGGGGTGAATACATAGGATTCTCATATATTCCGATCGGATCTTCATATTTTAGTTCTTATTTCTATTTCCAAGAATTACAACCGGGCCGAGAAAGAGATCGAACTCTATTAACGCATAAAAATAAAATGTTTGCAATGTGTGGATCGTGGAACTGGAATTCGGCGGATAACTGAAGGGATTGATCATGAAGCAGTTTAAAACATTGGGCAAGGTTTCAAAGTAGCCACAGCATGGCTGACCAATTTGAAATCTGTGGAACCAATCAATAATAGTCTCCAGAAATCTACAACATTTTGTTTTACTCCGCGAAGAATCACGTTCTCCGTGATTTGAGTATTTCGGATATTGTGTATTGTCAGCAATCATTCCTCTAAAGTGCGCCGCAGTAAACTAGCTTGTGATTTTTGTTTTCTGAAAAAGGGGCTAGACCCGAAACTTCAGCTATCTTGCTCCTCTGATGCTGCTTGGCCTGCTGTGTTCATCCAGCTCTACACCGTGTTGTCTCGCCTAAAGGGGATATTTGAATTCAGCGATAGTTAATAATTAAAAATGGGAAAATTAATCAGAGCACTCAATTTCTGGAGGTTATTAGATGTTAGATGTTAAAGTTCTCTTTAAAGCAGTGTGGCTCGTCAATACTGTTCTCCTTTCAAATAATTGTCAAGCTGTTTCAGTGTTCAACCAATTCCTGTCAACTGTGATCAGGGACTACCTTACACTTCATCTTGATGCGCATTATTTATGCCAGTGGCTCACACCACCTTTTCCATTGACAACATTCCTGTTTGAAAGCTTGGCTGCTCTTTTTGTTTGGTAAATAGTGTAGCTTCCCTCCCTGTCTACTGGCTCCCGCCGCACTGAGTTCTATTCCACCTCAGTCTTTCTCACGTAGAAATCTGTGCAGCTTTTATTGTTCCTGTGCAGGCAATAAACAAAACGGAAATGATGCCCATAAACAAACGCGGCAAGACAGCCATTGCATCCAGTTCCCCTCAAAGTCAAGACTCTGGATTTTTTTTATGTGTGCATTTGGTTTTGCTGGGCTTGTACTTAAAAGTTGTTAAAAATAGTTTTCGACATCCTTATTCGCTGCCCATCTCGGCATGTTTTTAGTCTTTTCGCAAAAATATGCCAAAGATTTCCACCGTGACTCATGCAGTTGTCCTGACATCTTTGGGAATCGCTTTCGATTAAAACAATGTTCAAATGGAGCCCTGGTGCAAGTTGGAGACCAGTCTGGAAGTGAAGTAGCAGAGGCGAGACTGGTGTTTAAAGTGGCGAGATTTGCGACGTTGGGCCCCGAGCTGTTTGCTCTCTGTAGTCTCAGATGTTGGGACTGACAGTTCCCGTGGCTCGTTTGGAGTTGCAAAAGAGCGCGATCTGACTGAATGTTTGTTTTGCGTGTTTAACAATGACATTCTCTTCATGAATACTGCCTTTGTGCTCTTTTACTGCATCAGACGCTTATTGAGAGAGGAGTTGGTATTGCAAAGAAACGGCAACTGGGCCACTTCAGCCAGATCTCCACCACGGGGATTAGGATTGTTAGGAAGAGAAATACTTGACATAAAAGCCTGGACAAGAGAAATCGTCCATTTACTCACTGGAAACGTGAGTTGGAGTTTTGTTACGCGAGCCCTGGACAATTTGGAGTAAAAGCTCTGTACTGAATAATGAACTCAGTGGAAGCGGCAAGACTCCTCCAATGGGACCGAGGGGAACTGTCCCCCACCAGTCTGTAATGACGAGGCTGGATGTGGTCTCCGTTGCAGAAAGGAATTTACAGCAACACTTATCATACACCAATTTCCTCCCGCAAGGAGCAACACCCCCACCCCATCCCCACACGGCCAGTCATGTCCTGCCAGTTTGAGATGTTTATGTGCTAATTCTGATATGAAAAATTACACACAAGTCTTGGTGCGAGGGCGGGGGAAGGGGGCTATAAGCTTGGAAATCCCAAGAAGGACCTGAGAATGTATATCACTTCCTTAAAGAAACATGCCCTTAAACTTACCTTAACGGGAGCTGGGTGAAAAGATCAAGTCAATTTGCAGAGTTGTAAAGAAAAACAAGGGCAAATTACAGGGCTTAATTCGCACTCAAGTATTTTCCAAATTGGTTTGTATATAACCATATTAGTGGGAATCATTAATTATTTTGATAGCTATCGGTCAGTATTCGGTAGCCCAAGTGTAAAAAGCTGTGGTAAGATGTGCTTAGTATCACCTCGGCATCTGTTTCCACTGCCCCGCCCTCTCCACCCACACCCCTTCCCTCCTACGTTATTGCCAGAATGAGTCTCGCCTCAATCCGTTAATATATCTCCCCCTTTTGGTATCTTACTCTCCTTAAATGTTTTATTGATCAAATGCTTCGTCGTAAAAGAATCTTTCACTGCCCGTAAGATTATCGGCCGGAGTAAATCCACACCGCAAATCACTTTTCTATTACAATGTTTAATGTGTTTCCACCACACCACTCCGCACCCCCCCCCACCCCACTTCCCGCCTTCCCCCGCGTTGCTTTCCTTCAATGCATTTTCAAGACGACAGCCAGAGAAGAAAACAATAGAATTTCTGGCGACGCAACCTTGTAAGACTTAACACAATCGGTAACATTAAAGGCAGAGGGTAAATAACTCTTGAGGTGAAATGACGTGATCAAAGGCAAACAATATTCGCTCAGCTGGATAGACCGCAGTCAGGATAACTGCTGGGGAGAAATTTCCAAATTGCAATTTCACTACAAAACTGAAATCAGAACCTTCTAAGCGACCAAGTATTCTCCCTTCATTTTCCGGTTGGCGAATTATCTTTTTTGTGTGTTTTAAATGCAATTCAAAAGGTCAGGGTGTGCAGGGAAATTAAGCGTCATTTTATGCAGCAACCTGCTGGCTGCAACGCTCATTCCCAGAAGAAATGATGATCAGAAATTTGCGCAGTCGAGATCAGGAGGCTACAGCTCTGAGACATCAGAGTCACACACCCTGTGTCGGGGCACTTAGCTTAAAAGGCAACCTTTATCTCTGCCTAATTTGGGTTGAAAAAGATCAGCTATATTTTTAACTTAAGGGCAGGAGAACGTTTCTCAGGGTAAAGCACGTTAAGCAGTGAATTATTTGTAAAATTAGGTCTGGTTAGAATCCTTCCTTCCACTTCAGGAGGAGCTGGCCTTTGCAACGAGTTTCTTTCTCTACAGATGCTGAGTAGTTCCAGTACTTAAATGTTTTGATTTTGGAGTGTCAGCGATGCAGCAATGTGTTTTTGTGGTTGAGGTTTTCTGTCATTTTAAAGAGATTGTTTCTCTTAATATACATATAGCAATCCGAGAGAAGTCAATGATAATAGACAAACAGTGTGCTACATGGGGACGCATTAATTGCCCCATCTATTACATGTTTACTCCACTAACGTTTTCTTATTTACATCGCTCTTTTTGGGCATGTCACTGCTGCACGACTAACCAGAGGCTCAAACACTATTGCTGCCACTAAGGTTAGATGTTAGTCATGGAATACACATTACTGGATTTAGTTCATTGCATGATTTATCTTCCCAAGACCTGGTGCGAGTTTGTTTTCTATACAATAGTTATTTTTACAATAACGGCTTATTTTGTCTAAATTATAGTTAAAAGGAACACTTCATCAAAACAACCATTCTCGTTGAAGTATTTGATCATGCCATTTTCAAAATCACAGCCTGGTGGGACTTTTGGGTAGAACACCACCCATTTTTAGGCATCAATACAGAAAACTTGCATGCAATTTATCACAAAACCAAGTTCGTCTCTTCCTGTCATTCTTCTGGATTTCCCACGTAGTTTCAACATCAAGTCCAAACAAAAAGGATGGGAAGGGTTGGGAAAACTCCCAAAGACGTCCGTAAATTAAATTAAATGGCTTGACAATGGTGAGGCCAGTACAAGTGCTGTCACATGGATGGGGGAGTAACTGATGTCCATGTGGAAGTAAGTCTGCTATGCGGAGAGGCATCATACTGGCTCTCAGACAGCTCGATTCCGGTGCCACTGTCATACAGGGGCGATCCTGACGAGGTGGCGCTCACTGAGTGGGCTAGAGACGGGTAATGAGCCGGGGAAGCCCGTAGGAACTGTGAGCTCAGGCCGTTGGACATGCCCCCAGACTGGGACACTGGTGTGATGGTGCTGTTACTGACCGACCACAGACTCGGATATTGGCTGCAACAAGAAAGAAAGAGCAATGAAAAGTTATGCAGAGTCATTAAACGTTCGAATACAATCATTTGGGGAGGGATGAGGATCTCGGACGTATAAACAGCGGCAAATACTCAATGAATGGGATCAGTTATAATATCAATGAGCTGATCAAGTGAAAATAATTTTGTTATTTGATTAATGTGGACAAGTGAGCAATATATTAAAGACCTTCTCTGCCCCTGTGGCATTCTCCAATCGGAGGACTACAGTCATCTAACTGAGAAAAAGTACAATCTAATTCCTCACGGCCTGACTGAAACTGCTGGGCAATTCTCGGTGAAATCCGGGTTGGATGCTGGATATCAAGTGGAAGTGATTTCACGTCGAGGCTTTCAGTTTGTCCCAAAAACCTCCCGCCGCCCAAGAAAGCTCCCGTTATGATATCCAACAGCAGAACCCCTACTTTATTAGTGAATGGCCAAGCTACATGGATTTTGTATTTTGTTATTGAAGTGCGTTAACAATGTATTCACGTTCAAAAATTAGTTGCTCAGACAGATATGCGTTGCTGACATTTGCACCTTGAATTAATAGATTGTCGTTGGGGAAATATTTACTCTGACATTATGTCTACCCATCACTCATTCGGCAATAGTTCCGTGTGTGCGTGTCTGTGTGTGTATGCATTTGTGTATGAGTGTGTTGGGGGACATTGTCAATTTGGTGAAATGTAAATCAGTCAAGTTGTTGAGATAAGTTCGCAGTTTAATTTATATTTACTTTAGACTATAGGCTTGTGGTTTAAGTCAATACAATGATTGGTAAACAGAATTAAAGTATTAGCGTTGTCGATTTGGTAACGATAGAATTGCTAAATCCTTTCTGAGAAATAGAAGACATCTTATTACAATGGCACTTCACCTCCACCCTCCCAAGCTGTGATAAATTCACTAAGGTCATCCTGTCAAGGTCTCTTACCTAGAGCTGGTGGCAGTGCCAGCGTTGTGTGTCATGGGCAGCATGCTGGTATGCGTGGAGACCTGCAGACCCGACCAGTTGTCATGGTTGGGGAGCATGGAAAGGCAGGCAGAAGAATTGTCGGGATAGCCAGCTACAGAGAAAACCACACAATTTCAACAAATTAGAACTGGCACGAGGGAAAACTAAACATATGGTACAGTGCAATAAATCTGCATTCAATTATATAATCTATAATTAATGACAGAGTGTGAAAATTTTTCCCACCACTGTAACATTGATATACTAAAAGTTTCTAAACAAAATCACACTAATGCAATAGCACCACGGCTTTTACAGATTCGCTTTTACAAAATAGTTCACATCTAGATGTGCGTCATACTGTTAAAGTATCCAAATAAATTCATCACTGGAGAGCTACCTGTACCTTCAATTGTAGAATTATACAGCCACTAATACAACTGATTGAGTTTTTCATCGATACCTACCTAAATCCTAATTTCAGCATTTCCATTGCAAAAGATTTAGAAGGTGAAAGTGGGATTTATAGTAAGTGATGCTGGTTAAAACAGTATCATTATTTTTCCTACAATAAGGTTACTATGTAAAAATAACGGCTATGTTCGGCAGATCTAAAACGGGAGGAGTGTCCACTCTGACTGACAACCCCTTTGTCATAACCTTTCCCTATATTTTATTGATGCTCCTATATTGCGCTGTTTCTAGAACATTTATCTTTCTCCCATACGCTCTCCCTTCACTTTGCATCTTATTGTGTTGAGGGTAAGACTCTATCATAAGCTTCTACACAAAATGACTATTTTAGTACAGTGGCATTCCTGACCCTTTCAACAATAACCGGCCTTTCCAACTTGCAAACGTCCTCACTTGCTTCAATTACCTCCCATCACCTCTACACCCCCAGCAACACAATAACGTCGCATATTCACCCTTACTTTCTAAATCTGTGTTTTTTTTAAATTTCTTTTGTGGCATATGAACGTCATTGGCCAAGCCAGTATTTGTTGTTCAGCCATATTTTTTTCTTGACCCGTGTGTTTTGCTCAGGTATTTCCGAGAGTAGTTAAGAGTCAACTATGTTGCTGGGGTTCTGGAGTCAAATGCAGACCAGACCAGGTAAAGAGGGCAGAATACCTTCCCTAAAGGTCGGGGCTTTACAACAATTGTTGACAGTTTCATGCTGAATGAGACCAGTTTAAATTCCAGATCTTCATTGATCAGTTGAATTGAAGTTCCATGAGCTGCCACCAATATGTGCCGGTATGTCCGGAGCTTAAGCTGGGTCACTGGGTTACTGATTCCTTAATATTACCTCAATGCAGTAACATAAGCCCCCTCAAAATGCCTGCAGTAGAGCTGACTGAAACTCCATTAGTCCAGGTGCTTTAAGAATTCACACTTAGGAGGGAGTATATGGCTAATTCGAATTATATTCAACTATTCGGATACATATAATGAAGGCATGCCAGTGCATTAGTATGACAAAAGAGACGAGTGCCTTTGATATCCAGGAGCAGATCAAACTCTGCAGTAAACGATCTGAACCCTTTCATGAATATCCTTTTACGGTCGCTTAAAATGATATCCGGTGTATGTTAGACCGGTGTTGTACTTACTGGGAGAGTTGTTCCTGTGTGTGTAAGGGTTCGGGTACGGAGCAGAGCGCTGGTTCCTCAGGGTAGAATAACGCTCGCAGCCGTGGGGCGTGGAGAGTGAAATTGGTCCTCCAAACTGAGCGTGAGGATTAGAAGGAGGGCACAGGGTACCTGTGCTAGGCAGAAACCAGCTACCTACTGGCGAAGAGGAGAAATATACATATCCAGTCAACCAAAACAAATTAGACGAGCCGGCAAGATCCAACATCAATACAAATTGACTCTCCCCCCAAAAAAACTTACTTTGGGAATATCCAGACTGTTGGCTGTCACTCACGTCATCCAACATTTCCTTGTGATCGCTTCTGGACAAGAAAAACCCATTAAACACAACGCACAGATTGGTCCTCACTCAAAGTATTGTAATAGAATACTTTCTTAGGCTCACCTCTCTTTGGAGTCAAGGAAGGCCTTTGCAAACGGATTGTACTTAATTTTGAGAGCTGTGATCTGTGATGGGAGAGGAAATAAAAGTTAAGATTCATCAGTATGCAGTTACTGGCGTGTTGGCTACTCTTACCATCAACCATCGCTAGTCTTTAGTACTGACAAAATATGGTGCTGAAAATCCAAAAAATTACTTCAGATTTTAAGAATTGAATCTGCTCAGCAACGGTCAACGATTTCAAATGATCTCAATAAACATTACTGATTTACTGGTACTGATAACGCTGCTTGTGTCTGTGTTGGTTTTCTGAAAGTACGCAGTCAGGTTTTTTGGAAGACGTTTACCTCCTCGTTCTGATAGGCTGTCACGGCGATGAACTGAGTCTCAGGGAATGAGTGACTGCTGATCATTCTCTGAGTTCCCCCGACTCGCACGATGTGAATTCTGGGCTCGTATTTATGCAGAGAGTTTAACATGATCTGCAATTCCAACAAAAAAAACACACGGTCCTTCAGAGGCTAGGTCCATGCCAAAAAAAATTATCCAGGATTGCAATTTTCCTGCTCAATGTGCAACTAAATTTTTCACCGTTTATTTATACCATATTTGCCATAGATGCCATATTTTAAACAGCATTGACATTTAAAATAACGACATGCTATGTTATCCCTGGTTTCACACAACGTTCTGTCATTTGTAATAGCTCGCTGTGGCTCACGTGCAAATGATCTGCGAACTCTACAAGGTTTCGTACACTCACTTCGTACCACTATATTTTGCAACTGTTATACAGCAAAGGGAATCCTGGAGCTCTGAGAAATTCAAAATCCTCATTTTATATATCAGTATTATTTGTTACAATATCTCGGAAATAAATAGATAGCGTTTCCCAATTAGTAAGATGATAAAACGCAAATCTGATGTCACGATTCTCACCAGCGCTGACATTTGAGAGCATCATGTGATAATTTTGCATCTTCCCTTTTTTATTGTAAATAGCCCAGATTAATTGTTAACTGCAATATTGGAAAGAATTTGGGCGCAGTTCAGATCTTCAGGTCTGGTACCCTAGGTTACTTCAGCTAGTGAGGGATGCATTAAATCTGCAAGATGTACCTGTCCTCCGCCGTTCAGTTTGTTGGTGAGTTTAACTTTACTGAAGGAGACGGGCGCTTTCATCCAGTGCGCCCCGAAGTTGGGCGAGTCGGGGTGGATGTAAACACAGCTCGGAGCCTGAGGCTCCGGTTTGCCACCGGGGACCCACTCTCCGTTTACATACTTCCAGCGGTGGTTGTCGGCGGCCACAAAGTCCAAGACAAACGAGTACATGGCGTTGGGATCCAGTCCTGACACGTTCACTTTCAACACAGGAAACATCCTCCTAAGAACAGCAAAGAAAGTAAAGCGAGTGAGGAAGGATGGGGGGTCGGGTGGTGGTGCACTTTATTGTCCCACGCTCCTGAGTAAGACGAGACCCTAAAGGATATGGCTTGTAGTAGTCACACCCGCTGCTCACAATTGTTCTTGCAACATATGAAAGTAAAACTCTCAATGGGACATAGAGGAGAAGACACAAAAACAGTCAACTTTAAGTTGTGATGTTTTGCACCGTTCTAATTATGCAAAGTACAAGCTGCGGTATGCCGAGCTCTGTTTTCTCGCCCTTGCTCTTCTAAATACTTTAAAAGCCGTGTTGTACAGAGGATAATCAGAGGATAATCCTCCAGCAGAGTGTCAGTCTCCTCTGCCCTCACCTACCTGCCGTTCTTTGTGACGATCATTTCATTGGTCAGTTCCTTAAACTTCAGCCACAGATCCAGGTCTTCCAGGTTGACTTTCAGTTCTCTCTCAGTGGGGTCTCCCTTCTCACTCCCAGCCTGTAGCTCACTCTCCACCGCACTGAGGAGATGGTCCACGCGGTACTGGCCGCTCTTGCCACTCTCCGTTGCGCTGGAACTCATTTTCCGTTTCCTCAGGAGTCCCAGATACTTCTTCTCCCAGCTAATTCCTACCAAGGCTACGGGGGAGGAGTGCTCTCTGCTCAATGTACTCCCTCTCCCAGTCTCTCATTCTGAAATCTCTCATTCATCCCGATAAGTACCCCTCCATGGGGATGATGACGTAAGCGATCGGCTTGGGTCGACTCGGATTGGTTGGGACCCGCTTTGATCTGAGCAATGCCGCGTGTGATTGGCGGGTGGCGGCCATATCACTGAAGCTAGGGAAAGCTTCTGAAGTTACAGCCAGATGTAATTACCACAAGTTAAATAGAGCTATTTCATGCAAATCTGCAAATGTTTACACCTATATCAAAGCATGGGGGTCAATGAGGAAATGGCTTTTAGGATATAGAGCCCCTGTCTTCTCAAGTGTCTAATCTATTTGTAATACAAGTTTCACACATATCGGGCCATGTAAACCCATTTCAACTGAAATCGGAACATCTCAGATACCACAACCATTGATTGCTGGAAATATGATTTCTTTTTAAAAAAGATCAAACAGAACGATTTGCTAGACTAAAACAAAACAAAGAACCATGGGCGCTGGAAATTGAAACAAGAACAGAAATTGCTGGAGAAACTCAGCAGGTCTGGCAGCATCTGAAGAGAGAAAGCAGAGTTAATGTTTCAGGTCCAGTGACCCTTTTTCAGAATGATTTGTCACCTGTAAGACTTCATCAAACGATTATTCAAAGTGACAAGCAATATTTAATGGTTAAATTGCTACTTTCTACTGTGAACGGCAACCTTCTCTTTGTAACTTAAACATGTAATCCAGTGGAAGGTAACATCCTACAGATGCCGAAGTGGCGACTCCTAAACGGCCAACGCCTCCCAAAACTGAAAATAAATAACTGTAGGCCCGACTTGCCAAACACCTTGAGGAAAATTCTACTCGTCTTTCGTAGACGAGATGCCACGGTTTTGCTCCGAAGTAGGCTAATGCCCACGTTTTATTACCTTGCTGTGAGCAAGTTACATTCGCAGGTTGAGGTGACAATAACCAGGAAATGGTTAAACGGTTGGCCCGAGAACAATGCGCTTTGAAATGACCTACACCGTACAGCGAAGCAGTCAGGTTTAAACCTTGGGCCACTATCATTTTGAAGGAAGAATTTAGGAATTTAATAATACCTGCAGCACACCGTCTGCAGATATGGAGGACATGCACGCTGGAAACACATACAGCTCTGAATTGTTACATCAATCGAAACATTTACAGAACTGCATTTCTTTCCACGGAGTTCCCAGCATTTTCTGGATTAATTTCAGAAGTCCAGCATTTTGTTTACTTTTCCTTCTCTATATTCAAATTGCTCTTCAACCTTAATGACAGGTTAAAAGCATTTGAAACGTCAGTTCTTTAAGACAACAACGGTTAGCCAGTCTCCTTAAATACCAGTGTTGAAATAATTTATCCAGCTTTCCCGAAGCTAAGGCTGGGGATATTTTCCCGCAAACCACACACACCCACACAAACAGGCACACACACGCACACACTCACAGTTTTAATTTGTAATGCATGCTGGATTGGTCAGTGGGAGTGAGCGGACAGGTACAGAGTGTTAGCAAGGTTTGAGAATGCAAGGAAAATAATCGCAGCTTTTCTCTTGAGGATGACTGATAGTGAGCAGGAGAGAGGGGTTACAAGTTGAGAAGCCCACTTGGTCTCAAAGCCGTTCACTGTGGAAGGGACGGAGGTAGTCCTCTGGTATAAAACCAATAGTCTCTTTTTTCTAATTCACCGACGAAAAGGGAAATCAATTTGTTTTGGGCTCCCAGGGTAATTTCAGGCTGGTTCCCATGAGCGAGTACAGCAGGGACAGCTTTTGACTGTGAGCTGCAGTGCATGACAGTTTACAACCAAAAACTTCCTTCAGCCCGTCGCTCTGGACAGTGGTCAGGGAGAAGCCGAATAGAAATAACCATCTGCCTTGAATTTTAAAATTCGTCTTATTGCCAACCCAACCTTCTTCTGCCGTAACCCACATTATTTTAACGATGAAGGCACCTTGTGAAATGAACAAGCATGATAAAGTGGCAGTGCCCGAGCCCTATCTTGCTCTTTTTGATCTCACTAACTTCGAGTTACTGAGACAAAATAATGCAACGTTTATCTACATTGGCCAATGGTTCACATTTCACTAGAAATGCTGCATCGTCTTGGGGTGGTTGACAGGGCAATCCGTTCACTCTCTGCATAGGTCGCTCCGGATCCTTTCAAAAGCGCATCCTGTTGAATTGTTCGAACTCCGGGACCGTTCATTTGGGAGTTAACTGCGCAGATTGACCGAAATAGATAAGATCTTTGTTTATTCTTTGTTTCTCGTGGAGGACGACCCCGTGTGTATTTAAACACAGAGAGGCTGTTTTGCGAACGAAAAATCTACTTTGAACGACATTTTCGATATCAATTCTCGCACCAATGACCTCAAATGTTGTAAAAGTCATTTTGGCTGTTTTTGTTTAATTGCATGTTAGGTTTCTGCATCTCCCCGGGTTCTGGCCTTCCATTAAGTGACTGTGTTGCCAACCTTTAGAATGAAGTGCGAGCACAAATTGAATTTGACATATACTCGGTAACTATTCCAATGACTACACATCTTCTGCCAATCTTGGTGGAAGGAATCTGATGATGTAATTTTTGGTGCCTGAAAGGAGATTTGTCTGATTCCCTGATATAGTAACACAGCGAGCCGCACTCAGGTCCCTTCCAACAACTGGACAGTGCCTATATTTCACTGCAATCTCTGGACATATGCCAAATTTACGCTGAATTTTTAATCTGCTAACTCAACGTGGGTAAAAAAAGGAACATCCAAGCCAGGAAAATAAAACGCGGACAATGTATTTCACCATTTCATTACAAAGCTTAAACACAAACATAAAACAAGGTACAGCAATCAGAATAAGACACAGGAAGACATAAAATACAGAAAGTCGACCCTGAATGTCAAACTGAAGTGAGCTTTCGAGCTCATCCTTTTCATCAGGAGGCGCTGGATGCCTGGTCCATTTTTACTAATTGAAGTACACTTTGAACAAACACATTTACTCGAACGCTGGAGTTTTACACAGCGCACTGGCCGTGGTCTCTTTCGTTGAACACTTTGGGACCTGTACGAAGTTTCGTTTTCTTGAATCGGTGGCACAGTCCAGTTCTTCAGATGAAATTGCCACACAATTGTCACTCTCACTCCGCAGGAGCAGTCAAATACGAACTGTGCGTGCTGCCATCCCAGGGAATGAAAATGAAACAATATGGGTTTCAATTCACTGTAATACATCTCCCATTCGATACCTTTTACAAATTAAAGGTAAAAACCTAAAATTCAGTCTTAGTGAACTGTTCCACTATTATCAAGCCGCAATTCTGAACGGTACTATACCATTATGTGAAGGGGCGTTTTCCTGGCTTAATCTCACAAGGAGTTAACAATCAAAACCTTATAAAGTCGTGTAATGTGAGCAAATCCCGTGAAACTCCGTTAGGTTTAAGTATAGTGCTCTATGGAACTGCTGCATTAATATCGTTGTCATCCTAGCGTTATGACGTTGTGTAGAGTAATCGTGAATGGGAAGGCAGGAAGCTAGAATGTGTGTTTAAAAAATAAGGAAGAAGAGGGCCTGGTTTCTTTCAGAGGTAAAGTGCTTTTCTAAACTTAGAGATTTACATAAAAAATGTTTGTAAGTAGCTAAAGATGTACAGCCAGTCCTGATATGGAAACATGTATCAATTGGCTGTGTGATTCGATTACTTAGGCTTGTTTTGATGTTTTGGCAAGGAGCTGGATTCAGCCAATTAATTTAAACGAAGCACTCAGCGATTGAAAGCCAATTGAATTTGAATCTGATGGTTTCCACATACTAGGACCAACTATTGTAAGAAATTTGATATGTCATCCAAGGTATATAAGGAGACAGTTTTTGAATATTGGTGTGAGAGCGAACTGCCATCTGAGAAATAAACACCCAGCTCTCACAAGAAATCACTAAGCTCTCTAAGAAAGCACCATCTGTCCATAACACGTTCCCCAACATTTCTAGCTAAGAGTCCTCACAGAAGACTTCACAGAGAAAACATCCCTGGTATCCAGATCAGCGGAAGAAAAGCCTTTATGGCTTAAGAACAGCAGAAGAAAGGCGTGTAGGCTTTGAGACACTATTTTTTAATTTACTTTCTTATTACTTAGGTTTATATAAGTGGGACTTTTGTCTATTAGAACAGCTTACCAGTAAGAATTTAGTACAGTTAGGGAATAGTTAGGAATTATGGGGAATTGTTCAGTTTATTAGTTATTCTGTTAACTGTTGGGGTTAAATAAATAAATTGCTACTCGTTACTTATAAAGTGAATATCGGGAATTTTCTTTCATTTAATCTCCCCTTCTCCATAACACTAGAAATCTACGGATCCAAGGACCAAGTGCAACACATGTACTTTAGGGATAGATAAGTCTGGAAAGCTAGATCAATTCAAGTATCTCAACCATTGGTTTCCTAGCAACATTATCAGAATCCTGACAGCAGATTACCTGGGATGTTGTAGGGGTGGCGGTTCACCAATGAGAAGTGGAAGATATATTAAACGGACACATAACTGACCCACTTCTATACTACAACATCCAAGCATAATGCACACGCTGCCAGTCTGTCACATGTCAGGTAACTACCGCACTGGTATGCATAGTTTTATTTTGGTCACATTTCTTTGTGTAGCTTAGGGAGAATTTTCGTTCAACTCAAATGTGATCCCTAGTGGGTCGAAGAGATTGGACTCCCAACACAATACAAAGAGAGACCCCGCTTAGTAAGAGCGAATTTACTACCTCTCTCCGTCACTACCGCTTTAATCGGTAGCTTTCTTCGACCTCAAATACACTGGCATAGTGTGGAAGTATTCGCCGCCAATAATGCTTCATCATTGAGACTAATGAGTTTTCAGTCCTGAAAGTTGG